CAAGGCATAAAATAACGTGGAGCTAGAAAGTGCTTTTTCCTTATTAGGTTTATCAAAGTAAAACTAGCCTGGCAAGCCTGTTCTATCAAGCAAATGGATGTGGAAGAAAAAGGAATGGAAATTCTGATTCATATTCATTGTTTCAGTGTCAGCGAGGGAAGAAGAAAGCTTCACTTTAAATTCTTTACTTTGGAAAGCTGATCTGAAGTTTTACAGACAAAGTAATCAAAGCTGATAAAGAAGCAAAAGGAAATCAAAGGTAATTAATAGAAACAAAGAAAGCAAGAGAAGAGGTCAAAGTGTCTAATATTAAAAAAAAACCAGAAAAAAAGCGAGGACATGCTTGACTGCATGAAGAACAGCTTCAGGCACAGTCAGAATTTTAATAGGGAGATTTTCTTTTTTTCTAGACTCCTAGCATTGGCCCAGCTATCGCTGTGTGCATCTCGGTCCCACTGCTAACACCCACAGGAGCCACCTTGTCCCCACTGGTGTCATCGGCCATGGAGTCTGTCTTGACAGGAGATACAGATTTTTTTCCATCTACTTTAGGTGTTACCAGTCCTACCTGCAGCGCCAGAGAAGCGACACCAAGCGCAGAGTTGGTGCRGAGCCTCCTACTTTGCTCAGCAGAAATCAACAGAAGAAGACAACCTGCATGTGCCACCAAGCTGGGAGATGTGACTGCCCATGTGGCTGGGCATGTGCGTATTTAGCATCCTTGACAACTTGAAAATTGAAGATATTCTACTTCGTGAGGCCACAAAAGCTTCATGTGACCACAGGAGATCTGCAGCTTTCTGGGTTTTCAAGTTCCTCCTGGTTGTCATAGGTCTAGAAATCAGATAGAGAGTAAAAGCTCAACCATTAAAGGAAAAATATTACAGTTTTTATTATATRAGAGACTCACCCCTAGTGATTTGTGGGCAGGAGTGTCAGTTCATCAAATCTTTTAATTTCTGCAAAATTAARTCATGAGGATGTGAAATGGGAACTGCAAAAGGGATCTATCAGTCTGACCTTTGAGAGGGTCGATTTGTAGCTAGACAGCATTCTTCCCATATATTAAAAATACTGTTAAACTTCACAAAACTGAAAGGCTTTTTTTCTTTTTTTTTTTTTTTTTTTTTTTTTTGGCCGAAAAGATCTTTTTGGTACATACATAAACACAATGTGCAGAACTGAGCTAACACAAAGCTGGCTGCAACGGAGAAGGAAAGTCCCTTTGCCCTGCTGACAGGTCTGCAAAAAGCTCCCTGAAGCCTGGTCATGAAGGGCTTTCCACAGGAACCAGCCTGCAAAARCCCACTGCCTTCAGCCTCAAAATCRTTGCTCGGGGCTCCACTTCGTCTGCTTCCTGTTGAAGATTCTTACTGTTATCACATTTGAGGAGTTTTTGTCCAAATGTCACCCTGGCATCGCACATCTCCAATATTCATAACCTGCAGGTGAACTTTCATAAAGCAGAGGAGTAAATTAACATTCTTCTTTATCAGAGGAAATTGCATCTGATTTTTCATTCTATTCAAACATCTCTTCACAGATGGGATGAATCCCATGAACTGATTTAACCCACGTCTCTGTCTAGAGTCCATTCTACACACTCTGGTAACAAAGCATGTAATAAAAGCAAATGAGCATAATTACCAGTGAGCGCAAATATGGGGTTTGGGATTCTTTTCTGAGACATTTCATATGTGACTGATGAACGTTGTTTACATTTTAAAACAAGAACAAACTATATTAGATTGGAAGATAAAAGGCTGCATATTAAACATTCACTCAGGAAGCATCCTGTAGCTATGATTACTGTTATAACTAACCATTCAAATCCGTTCTTTCCTCCCCATATGTAAATGTAATCAGACTACAAAGTGCAGCCAAATAATAAATCAGTTCAAGGGACAAGGCCTGTGCTATTAGACCTTGTAGTGAGGTTTTTCTTTCCTTCACTCCTGCAAGGAAGGAACAAGCAAAGACTACATGCAATTCCATTTATTTAATAATAGCTTGGGTGAATTTCTCCTGTTTATTGCATAGAGGTCTGTGAGCTGATGCTTTAAGACACGGTGCGTGTGCTTTGCCCCTCTGTATAAGCAGGAGAGCCCCTGGGTGACACGAGTGCATGTGTGGATCTCAGGAGGATGTGAGGTACCACAAACCTGCATCCCCATTATACCCACCAAGCATCTGGCCAGGGCAGGAGGGCATCATGCCTGTGAGACCGGCACCTCCTTCTTTGAAATAAYGCTTTAAATCAGACAGAACCTTAATCTGTCCTGAGGCAAGCTGGCACAGCAGGTATCCTGCTCCGTCTTTTCAAAGCCCTGAATTGTATTGTTCCTCTTCTGCCTTACCGAGTCTCAACTGAAGACAACCCCTGATGCTGCGTTAAACTGCATCTCTCCTTCTGTTCACAGGGGAAAACTAAGCTGCATATTGGGAAAAAACAATTCCTTCAAGAAACCAGCTAAGCCAGGATTAAAAGAAGTGTTTAACCCTTTCTTTTTTCCCAAGAGAGATAGTTTTTTTTTTTTTTTTTTTTTTAATGAAACTGGCCAGGTATGCAGATGCACTTGAGCAATGAGAATTATACAACCAGGATATTCTTACAGATATGAACACAAACTAACTCACGGGTCTTGATCTACCTTGTTCTGCAGGAAGTCTTACAGCAGTCCCTTACCACGGCAAAGAAAACTGCTTCCTTCCTCTGGAGTAAAAGCTCCTGGTGACGCTCCTCAGCTAAGCCTGGAGGCAGGGAGAGGAGCACGGATGGCCTCCCACCCTGCCAGCCTCAGACTCTCCATGACTTGGGGTCATCCTGGAGAAACAGAGTTTGATGGCACACACCTCCTATGAAAGCCTGGTTGTTCTGAGCGTTTAGTCTCAATCATATGCATTGATGTGGTACCCGTGCATGCAAAAGTCCTATTTCTGAGCATAATTTAAACAATTGCATGAATTATGTAGGCACACAACACTTCAGCACTTCCCGGTAATTTGTTTTCTGGCATCTTACTGCAGTTGATGCTATTCTGCTTTACTGAGAGAAGCCCACAGAAGGAAGATCTCGAAGGCTTTCAGAAAGAGTTGCATCTTTCACAGCTGTAATACAGAGGTAGGAAACATCTGGCAGGGGCCACCGAAATCAGTAAGTGCTGAAACTAGAAGTACGACACAGTAAGTACACATCCCTGTGCTGATGGTTATTAACTACCAAAACATTGCCAGGACATTTGGCAACCTCTTCACCATTAGCTTCTGTTAATCACAATCAGGCTACTGTTTTAAAGGCATGATCTGTTTAGGAGTAGAGGAATTACCTTGCTGAATCAGACCCAGATCCACYTCCTAGCTGCAGCAGCGGTCAGCACCAGCTCCTTTGGCACAAAGTTTAGGRAACACCGAGTAGGCAAGATTTGAGCTTAATCCTTCTTTCATGCCACGACTCATTCCGGACTCTAAAATGCAAGAGTCGACYCTGTGCTTTAACAAAATGCTTTAAGGGCTGAGCATCCTTTTCAGCACATTTATCCAGGGCTCTTACAAGCAGCAATAATCTCGGTACCTGTCTAAATATCCAATTCCTTTTTCTGAATTATGTTACATTCTCAGCCTCATTGATCCTGCAGGACCACAAGCTCCTCAGCTCAATTTCACAGTTTAATTCAATCCCAGTTATTGAATACCTGCAATTACATTGTGAAATTTTCATGAACAACCGTTTCTAGCTCTAAATTATGAAGCTTTGCAGTACTGTGTTGCATATTAACATTCTCATATAAATTATTATCTATCCCACRTCATGTAAAACATAGTGTATATTACACATACAAAGGTGCTACACGTATATATGAAACTCCTCATTATTATCAGCAACAATTGTCCCCTGCAGAAATGGACCATTTTGGTGGGCAGCAACTTGAGCCACGTCCCTTCAGCAACCATCGGGTCTTCATTTGAGATCTACCTCCTGCAGCATCCCGGGGCTATCCCTGCTATCAGGATGAAGCAGCGTTTCAGACTGCTCCAATGGACACTGCTTCTCCCGGACTAAAAACAAGGCCCTTGCACTGCAGCAGCCTTGTATAAATCAGGGCACTTGAGTGGTTCTCTGAGCCCAGGAAGGCTTCCAGTTCTTGGGTGGCCCATGGAAGAAGAAAGCATCATTTGGACTTCAAACTACATTGATATCGAGGGCAATGACCACACATTGCAGCTACCATTTTTTGTTATCATTGCACCTACTTTCCCAYGCCTACGCTTCTTTGAACAGCTTACAATGAAGTTTATTTCTTTGTTACTCTCTGTATTCTCCTCACATCCTAGCCCACAGCAAAAATAAATAAATAAATAAATAATAAAATATATATAGTAAGATCTGGCACTATTCTTCTTAATAACAGTGGGCTGTATTCCTCTTGTACCTCTCAGCCCATACATATTAATCAGAAGCTCAGCACAGGGAAAAAAAAAATACTTAGAGCACCAACACTACTGCACACACTTGATCCTGCTTGGTACCCCATCAGCAGCTCACGGTCTGTGTTTTCCCTCCCAGTTTTCTGCTCTGCCTCGGGATGAGCTGTGGCCGGCCCAGGAGGACCCCATGGGCTCTTAAAACACCAGCCTTTTTCCCTGAAACACAAAAATAAGACCAAACACTCTCCAGTTCTGCAATTATTTTCCAAACTTCTACTGCTCTCTTGTKTTTCTTTTACTACTCACTACAGGAGAGACTCTCCAAAGCTGCTTGAGAACAGGGTCCAATTTCAGATGCAGTAAAACACTAATAATGTTGTTTGCACACATTTAATTCAATATACCAGAAGCAATATTCTCACTCTCCGTAGCATTTTATTTGTTTATAAATACAAGCCAATACCACAAGATGGCACTTTCTTACTTGCAACATGTACTATTATAAACACTTATCCTCTTCAAATGTTCCCAGATGTTTACAATATGTARCTCTTCAGCAGTTTTGAAACATTTAAAAAAGCAAGACCTTCTACAAACAGTATTTGTGTTAGATGTATATTAAATGAGGTCAGGTAATTAAATTTGAAAAAAGAATTTATAAATATTTCAGATAAGAAAATTTAAATACAAAAGCAGAGTTTGTATTAATTAAACTGAATAACAATTTAAACTGGCCATAATGTATCTACATGGTTTAATTTAATTTAAAATACTTTTCAAACAATCAAGTTCTCTAGCCACCCATCAAAACACCTATCTACTCGACTCTTTAAAAAATATTTTCAGTTAAGAAACCACGTACGCCTTTTCATACCAATCCTTATTCTGTTCTATAGGTGGAAATGAAACAAAAATCATATTCCAGACTAGAAAACAGGATAAGAAGCAATAAACTTTAAAAAAAAAACAGATAACTTCAGACACTTCAACTCATTCTTCTTCGTGGTCCTCCAAATGCATGATCCACTTTTAAAGTCTTTTGAACGAAATGTAAACACTAGAAAACTCATTGTTGAAACGTGAAGAATAGAGCCCTGCACTAATATAGTGCATAATGATGCTGTGTCAAACTTGTCATTTACAGTGAATGTCACATTTTCCTCAGGATTGTCATGCCTTTTTTATTTTAGTAATGCCTTTTGATGTCTGTAGATTTCTATTTTTTATTCCCATTGCTCAACAGGAGGAGATGTGTCTTCCAGTCCCTTCAGAAAAGTTTCACAGGATCCAAGTCTTTGACTCTCTCTTTTTTTTTTCTCTCTCCAATAAAGAGGTGGCAAAAGTCTAAGTTTGCAATCTTTCTGTTCTGCTGTTCTGCCCAGCATAGTACACATCAGGAGATTCCTCAAAAAACTGAGAAGTCTGCGACTTACAAAAAAAGAAAGCAGTTAAGGCAGTGGATGTCTACGTTTGGACTTCTTCTGTCCTGTTACATGTCAACGTCGCCGTCGTAGGCCAAGGTGAGAGGCTTCTGTTGTGGAGGAGGGCTTTGATTCTGTTTTGTTTTYTTGCTACAAGGAAAATAAAAGCATTTCAGGGCATAAGAAAAAATGCAAACTGTAGTAGAGTAAAAGCTTTAAAATCTAACAAAAAAAAAAAAAAAATCACACATCTCTGTGCTAGCTATATTGTTTTCCAGTTAGGTGACACTGCAGGAGAGTGGTCCCTTGGGAGCGAAGAGCATGGAGCTCTGCCTGTGCTGCATGGGTGCGGGACGGGTGGGCAGCAGAACCTGACAGGGCACTGTGTGGGAAATAAAACCTTTCCTATGAGGTGATAACATCATCAGATGCCTCCTACTTCTCATGTTGCAGGGGAAAGAGAATTTCCCCAGTTGCCTTTTTTACTCCATTCACRTTTCCTAGATCTCCATCGCATTCCCTTGGCAAGCAGCATTTTCCAGAGGAATTAAGGTATTCTACYTAGTCCTTCCCTGAACAGAAGCCAGCATCCAGATCCAATCAGCCTTCTTGTCCTCATAGGTTTTCTGTTTTACTTACCTTTTTGTGAAGGGGGTACAATAAACCCCCYCTTCTAATCCGAGCGTAAGTATAAATAAACCTAAGTGCCTTTTGATAACAAAAAAAATGCTTTCCATAAATAGACACACACTTAGTCTATGYAGTCAGAGTACTTCAAGGTCATATCAGCATTTACAATTCCAAGAGTTTTAAATTATTATGAGGTAGGGGCCACAAGTTGGTAGTTAAATATCCGAGTTCAATTCTTTCTTAAGACCTCCAAGATTAAATCTCTGCAACAGAGGGCTTTCACTGTGCTGTATCTCAGATTATTTAGAAAAAAGCAAACAAACAAACAAATAAAAAGGGACAAAACATACCCAGAACTTACCACATAAGGTAGGATGTAAAAATCATGAAAATGATGATGACGAACCCACCAGCGGATACTCCATATACCCACATCTTCAGTCTACCATCTATTGGAAGATGAGGCAAAAACACAGAGAGAGAAGGAAAACGCATGAGGTTTTATGTTAACACACACAAATTCTTCAGGGGATAAATAGAGACAAAACATACAAAACTGGTACTACTGTTAACAGGAAACACGGCAAGGATTGCCTGGGAACAATCCACAGAGGAGYCTTTTGATGGACAACATTTTCCCCGCAATCTTTCTCAAGACAGAATTTTAACTTTGGTGGAGATTCAGGCCTTGCTGATGAAAACCCAGAGGGTGCCCTTCAGGTCAGTGCCCAGCAGCAGCAGCAGTGTCCCCTCCGGCGGCGCTTCCGCAGCGCGTTCCCGCAGCGCGGTCCCGGGAGCCGGCGCTGGCTGCGGAGTGGGGGCCGGCAGCAGCCGGACACGGGACAAGCACCAGGCCCCAGCCCGTGGGGCACATGGACAGGGTGCCAACAACCCCTATGGAAACGCTGCTGCACCCACGACGTGCAGCCTATGGAAAAACAGGCTGCAAGGGATGGGACTGTCCTCTGCAAGTCCTCCAGGGTAAATACCAGAGCAAACAAGCTACTCGGAGCTGAAAAATATTGCTTGGGCAAGAACAAATGGGCATAAATCCAGCTTAGAATAAAAGCAGGAATGGGTTTGGTAAAACTAAGAGGGATAAAGTTGTGCAACAGCTTTCTAGCTGGACTGTGGGAGCAGGGACACTAAGGTGGGTTTAGGGTGAAAGGAAGTCTTTTTTATTATTATTTTAATGTCTTAATTTCAACACTTAAAAACATTAGCCTCTTCAACTGTCTACACATTTTCTACACTTTCTTTTTTTTTAAATATACTTTTAAAAGGTGCCAAGAAAAAAAAAGAAATCCCTTCTTTTACGAAATTTTAACATGTACTTCTGATCTCAGCCTTCTGAAGTGCTAGTGCTCAATRTCTTTCCTGGACCAAAACCAACATTTGTAGAAACATCATCAGATAATAATACTAAACACCCCCCCCAAATCACACGAGTATACTTTCTCAAAATATTATTGCCTCATTTTGTCTCTGCTATCTCCTAGCAGAAAGGATTATAATTATTCTATATAGCCACAAAGGAAGGAAAGATGACACACAAGTTAGCAATTGTGGGAGTGCTCTGTGGCTCCCAGCCATAATCTCTGATGTTATGATCTACAAAGCATGTATCTTTCTTCTACAGAAATGCTGTAAAGAAAATTTATTCCATTCATATTTAAGTTTTTCACCTGGATTAAAAGGTTGAATAGACCATCCTTTGAAAATGTCATGCATTTTTGAGTTGACAGGTTTATTTTTTCCAGCAATGGTCTTAACATCAGCTTTCTTATCTTCTAAACCTGGCACCTTCATGCAGTAATCCAGGAAGCCATTTGATCTCATTATTTCCGTATATCCTCGCTCACATCCGCAGACTCCTTTCTAGGTGACAAAAAGGAATTCAATATTTAAATAGTATCCTCCAGCCAAGCAGTGCAAATTGTAGGTAAACTATGAAGAAACTGCAAGCTACCTCCTGCATATGTRATCAGCTCTACCAAAACAAACACAATCCCTGCAAATATGCTTCAGAGCAAAAAGGTATAAAAGTTATTAGTTAAAAAGAGTTGTTAATTAAAGAGAAGACCAGCATGAAGCCATTTTCATGCATTTCCATCCTAAAAGGCTTAATCATAGGCATCTGTGGCTTCATCCACAACCCCCTTTTGTAATAAAACTTTTAATGCTAACCAAGTTTGGCAGTAGATAAGATTAACAAACGAAGAGTGTGACTCCAGATCCAAATCCTCCATTCCAAACTACTTCCATTCCAGTACTTCTTAAAATGAAGAACTGTCTTTATGACCAAAAATCCATTGCCCTGTATCGATCTTGGCAGCTTTTTCTAGAGATTCCTTAGAAGTCTGTCACTCACTAAATAGATGGTCAATTTTCTGGCTGTCTACTTTAACACAGCTTTCTTAGGTTACCTTTCTTTGCTAATTAGTTTATAATTAAGATGTTTATTTGTCTGAGGGTCTGATATTCTTTACAATCCAAATAAGTGATTGATTTACATTATTTGTGATGAGAAGTTAACTCTTGACCTCAGCATTTTGCCACAACCTCCTCATTTTGTTGGTAGATGATCCAGAGCTTTTGAGAGGCTTTGGGCAGCAGGAAATGGAATCTCAGGAGTTTTCACAGATAATAAATGCTATTTTACCCATCACTTTGAAGTCCCTGCAGACTCCTTCCCTTTATGGCCATACTGGATTGCCCACAAGGTCCTCTCCATGTGTACCTCCTCCCACGAGACATCCAGCTGATGTCGAGCACCGTGGAAGCTGTTCTCAGAAGCAAGTAACTATTCCCTATGCCAGCCTGGTCAGTCGAAGGGGTCTGTCACACCATGACACAGAGACTAAAAATAAGCTGTTTGGGGAAGGTTTTGTGCTGGAGTGCAGTATTAGAGGAAGTGCCACTTTTGAACATCTGTGCCTGGAGTTTGCTTGGGAGCAAAGCACAGAAATTGGTTGGATGCTCTAGGAGGTTTTGCGGAGGCTGCACATTTCAGCAAATGAGGTCCCTTCCAGGTTTTGTTTCAGGAGGTAGCATGGGGATGGTGGTATCACGATACCACAGACCCTGGAGGTTTCGGTATCCATGGAGGAGAGAGAAGCAAAATACTCCTTTATTCCCTCTCTCACCAGTTCTAAGCAGGCCTCATTTACTGCGTGACATAACAGAATTTAATGAGAATTTAACTAAGTGGTTCCAAAACTGCTCTACAAAAACAAACCCAACCTAATAACACCATCACTTGGGACAGATTTGCAAAGGTTTCCTTTCAGACTGAAATTCCTGCAACTTCCTCGAGGTGGTATCATGTGCACACTAGTTTCTAAGGTCCTAAAATGCATTTGAGATACAGAGGATAACTGAATAGATTTTGCAGTGTTAATTCCTCAAGCATATTCTGCAGCAACTAATTACCTGTGTGCAATAGGAGAAGGGTTTCCTGCATGCTGGATTGCAGTGCTGAATTTCAGCTGGTTTGGTCTGAAGAGAACACCCTCCTGTAAAAGAAATTACTGAATACTTTAAAGGGTATATTTTACAATGTTTTCGCTCAGATCACTATAGTGTACTTAGTGCTTGCTTGCTTATTTTATGTTGTTAAATACTAGTCTATTAAGCTTATTAGCATAATGTCAGTAGACATCACATTAATTAATTTGCCTTAACAAGGCAGGAAATTGTTATCATATCCATCTTACTAATAGATGAAGATATCCAGAATTAACAAATTTGTCACAAGCCATATTGAAAGTTGGGGACAGAATTAGGAATTAGATGCAGATAATCTTCAGCCCCATTAATGTCTTATCTACACCAGAAGACAATCACATTAACACCTTAGCCCATCCTTCCCACTTGGGGAAAATGTGTTTCTAAAGGCATTAAAAAAAAAACAAAAGTTAATGTGTTCTTAACTACTTGGCAACCCCTGCACATAAGATTTTGTATATTACCGTAACAAGTCATTATAAATAGAAAAAGGATGTGCAAGGCCTATTGCCTTTGCCAAGAAGTCATGGAGCTTCAAAGTGCTGACCATGAATTTCACTTTTCATCATGTACAGGAAGACTTTGTAGGTCACAGGAACAGCAGGAATCTCACAGTTTGAACTCTGAGTGATTTGAAATTCCTGTGCGTGGAATAGAAGAAGAGCTAAAGAATCTGCTCTCTCCACCGTGCATGTGATTTTCTCTTCCTTTCTCTAGAGTTACAAAAAGGTTACAGCACTATCAGCTGTACAAGCCTTTTAGTACGTGCACGCCCGTTTCTTCCTGTGACCCGGCACACAACAGGGGGGAACTCGCTCAATTATTCTCATTTAACAAAACGCATGATGCTGACCTGACAGCAAGGTTGGTAAATCCCTACCTCTCTTTCCCACATATAAATCTGAATTGATATTCCAAAAGAGCGCGGAAAGGCGCTCCATCTGTCCTCTGAGCAGCTGATTCACAGCAAGAAATAAGATGGCATGAAGACTTTTCAGTCACAAYCGTGTATGCAGTTTTCGGCTATACCTGTGACGTTTATCCCATCTGAGCGTTGACACCACACTGTGCGCTTGTTCCCTTGCCAAAGGCTGGTTTTCCACAGATAGCTGTAACACCTCCCTCCTGCAACGTAAAGCCACCAGTACCAGTGAGTCTTCACATTGCAATATAAKCAAAACAAGTTCTTGAACGGGAGGGAGCAGAGTTGTGGCAACGATACCTGAGCAAGGCCGCGTCTCCATGACTTGTCCAGAACAGCTCTCTTGGTTCTCAAAAGCCTGACCTATAAATGTCCTTGATCGAGACTGGCGACCTGTTGTCTCAAAGCTCCTGCCACCAATGCACGTGAGCTCACACGAGCTCCACTCCGACCACTCTGTCATGTGGCAGTCACCTACACAATGAACRAAAAAATCATGGGTTATCAATCTGAATCAGCCGTAAAGCATAAGAACAGCCTAAGTTTATATCAGCTTTAATAGTGAAATACCACCCGTTCATCACCCGGTGATAGGCATTATTCAGATATTCTGCTTCATCTGGTATCTTATCTTCCCCCCMAAAAAAAGACTAGGAGCTTAAATAGCTGAGGCTTGAGCATAACTCTGACTTTTGTAAAATAACTTAAAGCAAATAATGAACAGCTGTTCTACCAGCATGAGCTACAATTGCTGACCTACGGAGGCAGCTCTACCTCAAAAAGCTATTTCAAACAGACATCTAATGTGATAGTAAATGATTTTACCCGGGCAAGGCACAGAACAGGGTAACTGCAGCATGCTGTCTTCTGGTGGTAGCTCCCCACATAAAGCATTTTCCACTGGTCTGGAGGTAACAGGAACAGAGGCATCGTGCACTACACATGTGAGGTTGCGTACTTGGAAACCTTCTCCACACTGTCCACCCTGTAAAATGACAGAAAGGAAGAGAAACATATGCTGCTGACASAGGCCCATCATAGCAGAATTATGGTTGATTCCACCTGAAAAAACTTCAAAGGCAGGAATCTGCTGCCTGGACTGAAGGCTCCCCCAGGTATGCCAGGTCACGGGAGGACRGATGGAGATCTCCAGGCATGTCTCTACTGAAGCCAAAACCCAGGAGCACTGCCAGGTTCCTCTCCCCGTGCTGGCAGAGCTGCATTGGGATGTATGTCATAACCAAAGCGTGAGAACAGCACACAAATGCTTTCCTATCAGCCTTGCCTCTGGGAGCTGATGGGATGCTACACATGGCTGAGAACTACTATACTCAGCACTAACACAGTTCAGAGTGGAATGGGGTCACAACTCCAGGGCAGCATAAGAACAGTTTTCTTTAACAGCAGCAAAAGGAAATGCAATTGCGAAATGAATTAGCTGGAACAAATCAAATACACAGGATTTGAAGCCTGTGCCTGGCATGTGGCATGGATGGAGAGGATACGTGAAGAACACTGCTTCAGGACAGTTGATCCTTTCCCATACGGCAAAGCTTGGAACCTCCTGTGCAAAGGGGTGGATACCAAAAATCATGAATATCCTAGAAAGAAATCACATTCTTGTGGGTTGACCCTTCATGCCTTTGGTTAGAGCTAATGAATTTATTGACTCTCAAGACTGGCTCAGCTAAGTGAAAACAAAACTTCTTGACCACTCTAAAGTGGCCAAGGGCAGGGCCCGGCCACAAAGAATGGGCATTTCTATTCACCTCCTTTGATGATAAAGCCCAATACAAGCGTTTGAATTATATAAGTCTCCAGCAGTAAAAAATCATCAGTGCTTGTAATCTGACTGCTAGGATTGTCRTCCACCAGCATGTTTGTGTAATTTCTTAATTGTGCAGACAGATATTGATCCTGAAGTGGACAGATATCACCATTCCGTGCACACACTCTCCTGAATTGTCTTCCAGCATTAGCCATGGTCTGTTAGCACTGAATTAACTTTGAACAAGCAATAGAAAGCTCCATCTGAGCCACTCCTTAGMCCAGTCCTGAAACATTTAGCAATATAACAAAATACCAGCTACACCTTTCCTCGAAACCCAGTATCATTTGGCTAAACTGATGATTGAGGACTGAGGATGTTGGGCCATTTCAAAGGCTGGAATTGTTTCATCCCCTTCTGACAAGCAGGGTTGCAATGATGGCAGAAACAAGCGCCCTAAACCTGTGTGACACTCTATGCACGTGCCACCTAAACCCCGTGGAAATGACACTTCACAAAATTCAGTAAATAAAACTCAAGAAGAGAGCTGAAAAGCTGCCTTTATATAACTGAGGGAAATGCGACTTGGATCGCTCAGCAGTAGATTTTTTTTTTAAGTAATGGACTTCATCTGTGGAAGTGAAAGGCTCCCTACCAGGCACATTTATTCACCAGCATGTTTGATAGCAAAAATCTCCAGAATGGCTCTCCTATATACATGCGGTACCTTTTCCATTTTCTGCATTCTTCCTTTTGCTGACACACAATGAAGTGAAAATGGGAGCCTAACTAGTTGGATTTAAAGCAGTTTCTAATCAAAAGTGTCTTAGAGAAGTATTAGTGCAGATTTACTATATGCAGCGAGATTTTCAAGTTTTCAACACCATGTTTCACTTTAGTCAGTATGTAACTTACTGTTCTAAATTACTGTTTCACCGTCGAAACCTCTACTGCGGTCTCAGATTAATGGTGTGTGAATAACTCATGCAGCTGTCAATTGGGTTAGAGTTCTTAGAAATTGCTGGTGGAAACAGAATACGATGAGGAAAAAATTCTCTGGGGAAATGGGCACTAATCAAACCGTAGCGTATTTCCAGCTCAAAAAAASGGCTCATGGAATGACTGAAGATTACTAGAAAGGACAAAAAAAAAAGTTTWAAAAAATGATATGTATTCTTTTATATATAACATACCTAAATATCTATAAATTTATGTATTATACAAATAGCTTATATAGAAATATGAATAATTGATATAAACAAAGCTATTTTCTTTTGGTACAGTAGTCTCCACTACGAAAACCAACATGCTTCAAGGCAACATTTGTCATTCCYCTACCATGCAACACTGGAAATATACTCCTATTTTCCTATGCTTAGGATAAGAAATAAATAAGAACCACGGCATCTCAAACACTTCAAAAGGCTAAGGTTAGCTTTTGAATAGTGGCTTCCATTTACTTGCTTTCATTCAAGGCCAGAAGTGGGTTTTGACAATCAGCAGAATCCAATGACACAGTCCAGAAGTGCAGTGCTGCCCTGCCACTTRTGAATGGATACGACACTGGCTTTCTCGGTACACCCGGCAAGGTCACACGCAAAGCAGGAGCACTGTGTGAACTTCCATATCATCTTAAAAATTATTCATGTCCTCAAAATTATACATTTGAAGATCTAATTAATAGGTGTGGAATCAGTGGAAGTTTGCTACAGTAATGGCACAATGASGATCCAGTGAATAGCTCCTAATCAGAGGAAAATTGCCTAGCGGATTATCAAATATTCAGAACTCTGGGAATCCAATCTGTGTTGTAAATGCCTTTCTCTGGTAGATGCGATGATTTGAGGCTTGTGCAAAACTCGGATTTTTCTCTCAAGTCATGAGCTCCTTGCAGGAAATCTGCAGGGCTTTGGGCTCCATTGGGCAGGACGTCCCTCCCCAGGGCTGCACAAAATCCCTCACTGACATGCAGGGACTTCTCTACATGTCCCCTTGAGGATGTCGAGTCTCCCTCCAAGCAGTCTGCCCTCGTGAGACCCCTTTGCCCCATGTGGTCACCTGGAAAGCAAGGAGAAGGTTTTGCCTTTTAGTTATCAGCTAGCGAGGAGAGATACGATTAACCAAATGCAAGTGTAATCTAGGATAATGTTTCGACAACCAGAGATGTTTTAATTTGCTAACATGCTGATGTATGACAGCATCTACATGGACCTGCTCTTACTTCACTCGCTCCATTATCGGCCTCATAAAATGCATTAGTAACAGAGCACGCAACAGAACAGGTAACCTAATGAGATGCCTTGAACATGACTGTAAGCAAGATGTGCCTTTTCCTGGGTTCCATGTAAATCCACAGTCATTTTAGGTAAAGAGTTGATTGACCAGTGCCAGTCTCATCCACGTTGACGCTGAATTACACAAAAATTCCTAATAAAAAGCATCATATGATGGCATTTAACAGACACCTTTTAAGACACTTTAGAAAAGAAGGGTTCATAGCCTGGTAATCGAAGGTACTTAGTGCTTGGTAATGTCTAGCTACTTGGTTTATATTCCTTTAAGGGAAATATTATGTTAGTCACAGYGTCAGACTGTGTAATTTTTACTGTTTTCCTCCTACAAATCAGGGTAAAACAATTCAACTCCTGAAGGAAAATGATCCATGCAATGCACCCCCTCTAAGACCATCCATATTGCCCATTTTCAAAGTTCTTCATACCCTTGAACACTGCAAGTGTGCCTGTGATATGTGCAATTTCAAGGCCAGCAGCACACTGATTTACATACTGCGAAAATCAGCAACACAAAACCCTGTGCAAGCTCTATTGCTAAACACACAAACACCTCTAATTATTCACATGAAGCCAACTTATGGTTCTTCTATGATTAAGAAATACATTCTCATTTATCTCATAATACAAGGAAGGAATAATTTAGCCTTATAATTAGGTGTCTTGCTTATATTACTATAGGAGGACATTTCCATAATATGTATTTTGTTCTACTATACTGCGCATTTACCTTATTTAACAAATTATCCTTGAAAGCAGGAATTCTGAGAGCTCTCTTTAGAAAGTAAGCTCAAGCTTCTTTTCCAGAAGAGCACAGGAATAAATCACCCTATATTTATGAACTGCATTTAATTCCTAAGCACCTCATTAAAGAGATCCGGACATGAAAAAAATGGCTTCTCTCCAAAAAAACAAAACAAAGAGCAGAGAAACTACAACACAGTAATTTAAGAGGAGAAACAAGCTGTATCACACTGAGTGTGAAGAATGGGATGTGGGCTACAGCGGGTTATGATTGCTTGCTTTGAGCTGAAATTTTGCAGTCTGTTGGATATACACATTTTTATTCTTCAAGATTGCATTATTCAGCTGGATTATGTTAGGACATTAAAAATATTAATATGGAAGCTGAATTATCAGCTAGGTTATTTCCTACAGTTGAAGCTCCCCCCCTAGTGTTCAGCAGAATTTACTTGCCTTAGGTGGATAAAAAGCCAGTGGAGGATGTTATACATAAATAAATAATATATGCAGTACACACACAGATCACATGCACATCCTCAGTTGCAGTGAGTCGTCATTSAGTGCAAGAACAGTGCAAGGAAGGTGGCCCTAATTGCTTCTCTGATCTTGGACTGTCCAAAGGCAGTAACAGYCCAGACTTCATTTATAAACATCTGGGGAAAAATCTAGCGTTCTGTGATGGCACTGGCACTATTTTATGCAGCTCTAACAGGCTCTCCTGCACCTGGCTTGCCTCTGTCAAGAAAGCAAACAGGTACTCAGGAAGGCACACCATGCTAAAGGGTAGGCCACAAAATACAAAAAAAAAGTCTTTATTTGCATTATTGGCCTTAATTTCCTATATTCTGCCATGTGGAGAAGCAGCCACTGACCCTGGGGGAGGTCCATGCCCGGGAYTGGAGAGGAGATTCTTCCCTCCACCGCACTTCTCACGTGCAGGTCTGCAAAGCCAGCTGKATGCAGATTTCATTCTGCCTGGGAAACTTCAGCACAAGAGATTCATGTCCACTTAATCTGGCTTATAACTAATATGCTTGAATATATGAAACACAATCTTACAGATAAGGAGAGGAGAAAACGTGTGTGTGTGGCCAGGGGGCCAATTCAAGCTTGATGCAACTCAAGGGTAGTGAGAAATGAAGACTCCAGCGCTGACAAAGCAGAGGTGCAGAGTGTGTGTGCAGCACATGGCAATTTATTCCAGCCACTTTTAGATCATTAAAAAGATAGTCACACTTAGGAGAAAGTAGAAATCAGCATTTCATACCATAACTTACACGATCGTACTTAACAGCATGCACGGAGAGACCTACCGTAGAGCATTAAAAGCAAAACAAAACAAAAAACAACACATACAAGGAGAAAAAAGGGAAGAAGAAAAAAAACACACCGCTAAACGCTCCTGAAAACTGGCCTATTTTTATGTTAGAGTTATTTTATATAATTAAATTATAGGTCACCATAGCTCTGCTCACTCAAGCACATTTACGCTGTAAATCTCCTTTAATACCTCTATCAGCTCATAGTACTAGGGCTCATATCGTTATAAATAGTTTTTGATGGCTGCAAGATTATGTGAGCAGGTTTACTGTTCTTGAACTTTCCCCGCTTTACCATGGATCTTATCAACACAAAAAAAAAAAAAAAAAAAAAAAAAAAAAAGAAGAAGAAGAAGAGAAGAAGAAAGAACCAACTAAACTGCCGAAGAGCGGCCTAACTCAACCCTGTCGTGTTCCCGTGGTTTTTATGGCTACCATCAGCCAGGAGCGGTGGCCGGGGGCCGTGGGGAGCCTTACCTCCACCTGGCACGGGGCCCACTCTCCCAGGGCCCAGCGGTAGCACGGCGTGACGGGGCAGTGTCTGCGCTGCGAGAGCTGGGCCGGACACGCTCTCCCTCCGCCCTGCGCCGGCAGCAGCACGGCCCGCGAGCGCACCGCGTGGCCTGCACCAAGAGAGAAGACACCAGAACATGAGCAAGATAGGGCTTTTTTTCCAAGCAAGAAGGTGATTTTTTTTTCCCTCTTCCTTCCTCTCCTTGCCTCTACGCATCTCTACAGCTTTCCCTTCCACTGATGCTGCCCCCCCACCCCAGTCCTCTGTGGCTCCATCTCCTCCATAAGCTTCTTTCTCCTCTACTTTTTAATAACCTCTCTCTCACTTCAGCCCGAAGCTCTCCTCCTCTGAACTGCCATAGAATCACTGTGGTTGGAAAAGACCTCCAGGATCATCAAGTCCAATCGTAATCAAGTCCAATGGTAAAGTCAACCTCTCCTCCATGCCCACAGAGGACAAGGAGATGAGGTCAGGCTTTTATCAAGGCCCCAATCCTGCAGAAAGACCCATCTATGAAGACATGAAGATCCCAGTAGGTTCTGGTGTCCCAATCACCCCTAAAAGGCCCCATTTGCACCAGTAGCCTCACAGTCAGAACCTATAGCCTTAGAACTGAACACAGAGAACCTTATTTGTGGCTTACAGCAGTGGTATGTCCCCTGCTGAAGAGACTGTTTTGGTTTTGGGGGGCTTTTTTATTTTAATACTGGCAGCTGTGGAGAGATTTTATGGACAGAACCTTGATGTTTTATGTCTCTAAATGAGCAACATTTTATAAAAATGCAGTTAAAAGTAGTTTGCCTTTTCTTTAATTAACACCATATATAAAATCCATCTCTTTTTACAAACTTGCTACATTGCTGACAAATCTATAGCACCATTATGACACCTCATACACGGGGTTATCAATAGAAATAATGCCAGATTTTGTGAGGAGTAGTTATATGGGCTTATCATTATTACCAGTTCATTTTTTTCCACCAATAAAAAGCTGTTGAGAAAGCAATTATTCAGGAAAGATATTGGATAATATGGATGCAATTACTAGATCTTCCATTCTGTGATTCAGTCACTGATGCTTTGTATATTTTCCAAATATACTATTTGTTTAGGCAATACATTTAAAACTTGACTAAACTCTGACTATTAAATATGACAAGAAAGTAACAGCATCATTTCCAACATTATAATTCAATATGTTTCCACAGATTTTTAACAAATGAAATTTTCTTTTTATGACCAATTATGTGCATCTAATTTGAAAATTGCAAGTACTCTAATGGCTATTACCGGCCATAACCACTTCTACAATTTCCATTAAAATCCTATTTATTATTGGTGAAAACTTCTTCGCTACTGAATGGAAAAAGCAATTATRTTACTACTTCTGAAATAATAAAGCTGAATGCATTCATTAAAGTTGCAGCAATTCCATTTTCTTCTCCTTTGCTTCCATTTAAGTTCAGGAATGTTTTCTTTCAAAATGTTTCAATCAGAATCCAGACTACAATTAAAAAGAAGAGTGGGGAAAAAAAACCCTTATGGAGTGGGATGTGCAAGACTCTGCCAGTTAACACTGCTGCCTTGACTCCTGATGGAAAACATGGCCGTGAGTTCATGGGGTGGAAAAGGCTGCTCACGTTGGAGAGCACCTGGGCTGTCACGAGGCCCCTGTGTCCTCAACTCAACGCTGGGCACCCAACGCTACAAACCTTGGAGTGTCCATCAAACTACTTCAATTAAACACACATCTTCCTCCTAGTCACCCTTCCTAACATCTTACTGGCAAAAAGTAAATGAAAAGACCACTGAATGCTCGTCTAAATTCCTCCTTTTAAGAGGAATTTAACAACCTATACTTTGTTTTCCAACTGTTGGCCATCCAAACCACTTAAACTCCCTGCTTTCATGATGGCAAGCTGGCATTTGGCTCAGTTTTGCTACTACCCTACTTGCTGTGAATAAATTGTTAAAGCAGAGGAGTGTAAGAGATTGCATTGAAAAGAGCATTTTCGTTCTGCACAATCACTGTCGTGAATCTCTTAAAGCTCCTGTTGTTTTYTGTTTTGTTTTTGTTTTCCTCTCCTCCTCACACCTTAAAGTTTATCTTCGTGCTCAGCTGTGACTTAAGCAGCAGAAAACCTCCACTTATCTTTACTGCACAAATATCTTAATAATATTGATGGAGAACAGAATTTCACTATAACTGAGATTTCAACTTGTCTCCTTTGCAAATTCTGCAGCAAAGTAATTTCTGTTATTTCTTAAATTTCCCAATGAACTAGCCACATCTCTGTTTCATCTGCTCAGCAGTGCTATACGATATGAAACATAGAACAGAAAGCCTGCTGAAAATTGAGCTTTTTCTACACATCAAATTTACCAATACTTTTCAAAGAGAAAAAGACACTGGGCTTGTTAGTGCTGGTAATGGTCACTGAGAAGCTGTGAGGGATCAGCAGCTAACACTTCATGTCAGAAGCATGGGGTCATGTTTTCAGACCATCGCTCTTTACACTTTATCCCCACAAAGCAACGCTACATGGCTGAAACTGAGATGATTAATGTTTCTGCTAGGGCTAATCCCATCTGGAATTACTGATGTGTTTAATCTGTCTGATGAGCCCATCTAATGCAGACCCATTAAGCAAGCACAGGGCTAGAGCAAGGATCGAGTTCCTTAAACACCACCCATGAGGTCAGGTCCAAAGCCACCAGGACTATGTCCAAGACCACCGGGCTTGGCAAATGCTGGAGCTGCTCCTCAAGAAGGGTCATCCCAGCAGCTTTGATTCAAGTCTTTTGCACGACATCCATTAGGACAACATTATAAATCTTTTCCTAACAGCACAGCAGCAAGTACGAGGGCCTCCTATATAAAGCAATGTCAGCCCCGAGCACTAAGCTGCGCCCAGATCTGCAGCTCCGAGAGGCAAGTACAAGTTTCATCTCCGTGGGCACAGCACAGGCAGGAAAGAGAGATCTACTCGAGTCATCATCAGTTATAAAAATCAATATGTTCCCCTCTGGCTGCTGTGTACCAGAACCATATTAGATGTCAGCGCCGTATATACAGCGGCACCGCATCATGTTTTGACGCAGCGTTCCATAAAATGAAGCCTGAGTGGGGGGAAAAAAAAAGGTACCAGCCATTAAAATATATCATAGCAAACCACGTTGCTGGAAGAAACGGCCAGGAAAAAATGTTAAGAAATTCAGAAATAAAAGTGTTAGCAATATTGCTCAAGAAACAGATGAAAGCATAAATCCGGCAAGAGGAAATGTTGATCTGGAAGATACTTAAATTATGTTTCTCTTTGAAGTCACTTATGGCTCTCGAGCCAGCCCTCTGCAAATTTTCCAGGACAAGTCAGAGAAGCAGAATCTTGCTCTGTGTGAGAAGAGAGGGGAGCCAGCAGCAGTACGTGCCAATAACTCCTTGTGAATTACTCCTGAGAAGCAACTACTTATGTCCTACATTTTGGCTTTATCAAATTKTGTGTAATTATTTATTTGGCAAAGTAAAGTAGAATCGGTGTTTACTGCAGCCTACTCCCACCACTTCTTTAYAGTCACCTTTTGTTTTTCTGTGTCTAATTTGAGGCTTAATCCTATTCTCACAACCAACCATGAGAAATTCATGCTGATTTTCTAGGCACTGCAAGCGCTGAAGATTTGGGTAGAGAAACCTCACTATTTATCTGTGAGGTACCTGCATATATAATTTCCTTCATTATTAATGTGATAATTAAGTACCATTTGTGACYAATTGGAATGCCTTAAGGAAGCTTAGATGAAGGTGACTCGATTTCTGCTGTTGGAAAGGCAGAGAGGCCATGGCTGCAGGATGGACAGGTAGGTGCCTTSGTCATCTACTACAGAACCCAGTGCAAGTCCATGCTTGACACTTCTTGCTGCAGCAAAACTTGGCTCAGGACTGGGGTTATAGTAACATAAAATGCTCCCCGAGTTATTCTGGGKGCAGAGGGACACAAATTCCCAAATATTCCTACTCCAGGATAAGGATCAGAAGACCCTTGTGGAGCTACCWGAATAATCAAGAAGGACCTAACAAAGCTTGGCCACCAGAAGACCCAGCTTCTAAGTCAGCTCTTGCAGGCTCCTAGCTGACACACGTTCATAGAATGATAACCCTGCTTTTAAAACATACACATGCACCCTTGAACTGTACAAGCCRCCTCACTAGCTGGTGGCCTAATGGCTTTGTGTCCTTGGCAGGCCAGAAGGTCACTACTCAGCCTATGAAAGGCTGCTCAGTTTATGCTTTTCAAGTAGCCTTAGCAAGTTTTGGGACCTACAAGAACATTCACAGAAAGGCTGAGCTCTGCTCCTGCAGGGCGCGCTTGTTTTTTGTCGGCTCAGGACTCTGCAGAAGTTCAGCTCTCACTTCAGAGGCAAAGAGCGTGTTTACTTTGGAAATGCATGGAGAACCACCAGCTCTTTAATCAGTCTTTAGGACCAGCATAAGTATTTTTAGGGTAGGGAACTGAAAAATGAGACGTACTTTAAGAAGTAGTACATCCCTTTGCAGACAAGATAATGTAAGAGCTCAGGATGAGGAAACCTTCAGCCATTAGACAGCACGAGCTATCACTGCTCCACTGGATAATCTAGCAGCACGTCAAAAGCCACAGTCTGCTTTTGCAGGTGTAGCTCTGTTTTAGTAAATGACTTAACACTAAGAAATAATATAGGTCCATTTGACAACATGAGTATTAATACTTAAAGAGAGATTTTGAGGAAAAAATAACAGTGTTTGGAATTAATAGTATGCTTAGTGTGTTGTTGGTAAAACAGTAGTATGAATTACTCATTTATGTTAAAAGATTCTATTTTAATAAAAGTACTAAAAATTCATCAGAGGAAGAACACCACTAATCCAAATACTAAGCTTTTTCTGTAGCACACTTTGATCTCTGAAATCCATCTGAAGGGACTGCGCTACAGAAGTTAAGAACTTTTTTCTTCTTGACCTCAAATGAATCTGATTGAAGTACGTATTATGGCTCTTAAATCTTCAAGATAGGCTTACGTCTAAAGCCATCAGAAATGTGGGAAATAATGTCACAAGCCTATTTTGAATAAAATGCACAATGCATTTCCTTGTGTCATTACTCAGAGGACTTTCAAAATCACATAAAACTAAATAGGGCTCTTATCCTTTTGCTCTCTCTATGCTGGCAAGTGTAACTGACTTTGAAAAGCCTGGCTGAAGTTACTGGAACCATACAAATACTCCGGGACCTGTGGTTACAAGATGGAGACAGAGGTGCACACAAAATAATGAACAATAATCCTCATGGGTTTTTCCTTCAATAGGATATAGTTATTTTACTATAAGTAACTTTACCAAAAGGATCTTTATAGTTATTAAGCCTGCAACTCTCACTAGATTTTCTGATAATTCTATATAAACTCTGCCCATATAGCAGGAGTTAATACTTCAGGCACTGGAATATTTCACTCATTTTCATTATTTTCACTTGGACTGTGGAAATATCCTTCCAAAAAGCACTTTTAAATGTTTTATCATAAATGAAAGCAACGATTTTCACTTTTTAAACGTGCTGAGGAGCGTGCAGCKCCCTCGCCCTCTCGGGACCAGCTGCGTGGCAGGGAGGGCGCGGGCCCGGACTCACCGCCGGCGCCGCACGTGTGCGAGCACTCGGACCACGCCGACCACGGCGAGAGGCGGCAGTCCACCACACAGCCCACGAGGCACTCGGCGCTCGTCTCCAGCGGCCTTTCCAAGTGAAGCTGCAAGACAACAGCAAGATATTAATATAAATAGAGGTTCCACTGCTACTCCAGTGTCTCCACATACAGGGAATTTTCCTGAGGGTAGCATCAGTAAAATGGCTTCGCATTTTGAGGAATTTCAGCACGTGGATATCCCAAGGCCTACAATCATGTTCCCTAGGCACATTATTCCAACGYCACATCCCCTTGCAAGCAGAGGAGCACTGATGCACATTAACATTCCTGATTATTACCCTACATTTCCACAAATAAAGGCAGTTTGCCTACAGCCATGACACAGCTCCCGAGAGGGCACATCAAGGGACGTGACTTTTCTGGAGACGAAGGTGCGCGAGCGGGTGCCGCCGCGCGCAGGGCCTCACCTGCTCGCAGTGGCGCGGGGACACGGAGCTGCCGTCGCTGCGCACGCAGCCCAGGAGGCGCCGCCGGACGCCGGCGCCGCACGCGGCGTTCGCAGGGAGCTGGCACGTGCTCCAGCCTGAAAACACAGGGAAAAGGCGGCTTTAGACCCACCTCCCAGTGTGCCGGTTATCCTCCGCAACAGGGCGCTCCAGCACACAAACTCACAGCGAGCCCCAGAGCAACACATCCCCAAAGCTAGTTGTTTCTGCAAAATAAAGAAAGTCTCAAACGAGAAATTTGTGGCTCTGTGCTCAGATTTCCTTCAAAAACAAACACGTCAGACGGCACGGAAAAGTGTAAAACGCTGATAAAGTGCATCAGTGAAATCCTGGTGTTGCATACGCAGGGCTGCCTTGTCTGAAAATAAAATTTCACTTCGATAAAGTAGCTATGGAAGTTTCTGAAGAGTAATTCTATTTTAATCTATTTCTTATCCCAAAGCAAAGCTTTCAATTATTTCAAATGAAACTTTAAATACTTGTAAAAGAAGTCACATTTCTTCCAACTAGAAATACTAATTACTTGTCCAAGATTATGATATTCAGAATAAAACTAAGCCACTAATAATGAACAAACACCATAACAGAAAAAATAAAAATTTCTGGATACCACTTACAAATAGGAAACATGTGAAAGCAAACTCACAAACATTCCTCATTTCAAAAGCGTGAGAATAAAAAAAAAAAAAGGCACCATGATGCTGTTTAATGTGCTTCTATGGCTGTTACTTCAAACAGGCTGTGTCCATGCAGAAAATTAACATTTTCTCCTTCTCTGGTCTCCCCTTCCACCCACTGGCAAATTCATCTTAGATATTTCTCATTTATTGAGCAAGTCAAAGAATAAAAATATTTTTATATTCTTTTTTTTCTGGTTGGCCTGAAACAATTGTTTCTAATGAAGGTTCTAAATAGTTTGCTTTAAAAAATATCCATGTCCATCATTATAATTTATACTCATTATAACTTTCATTGCCTTTAAATCATATTTTTGTTGACAATAGTGGCTGCACTGGAAACCTACAGAACTTTAAACAGGAACTTATATGGGTATAAACTTATATTTATATGAATATATATTAATATAAATATATATTAATATAAATATATGAATATGTGAATACATATATATAAAGAAAAATGAAATACATAATTCTGTTAATAATGCATCAAAAAGAATAGACTCAACTTAGTTTCCTGCACCTGTAATAACAACCTAAGCAGTAAAATTATGCATTTATCTACAAACCATCACTGATATTTGTGTGACTCTTCAAATACCAAGGCTTTAACAAACACCACAAGCAAACATAACTAAAGGTGCAGCTGGTAAAAGACAGGGCCTTTTATAAATCGATACTTAGAAAAGCAAAATTTCAATGCATTATCACTCAGTAAAAAGGTGCCACGTGGCAACTTGTCCTGCCAAGGGTGTACCAGAGAACACACGCCCACCTGTGAGGTTATACTGGTATTGGAAGCAATTCTGGTTCAGGATACACGGCCTCATTTGTGACCCTTCAGGGCAGGGCTTGGCGGTGACCGAGGGGCGCAGCACTTGCCGTGTCCGCAGCTGCATGACGTTCGGGTCACACACCTAGGCAAGCGACACAGGGTACAACAGAGGTCAGAAAAAGAGCACAGACGTGGATGGGCTGAGCTTGTTGCCATGTTATTTACACAATTATATTGTGCCTATGTAGTATATCTCTTAGGAAAAAAGCTTTAATGTCAAGATTGCTGGAATTACTATAAAGCACTAAGGATACGGCCGCGACTTATTTGCAAGCTGAACACAAACCAACTGAGGCCTTTCTTCATTCCCTCCTAAGCCTGCATCAGCAGCTCCAAGGATTCAAAGCTCTGGACACTGGACAGGGCTAATCAGGGGCAAAGAGCACAAAAACAGCTGTTTTTCAAGGTAATCATGGAAAAGTCTAAATAAGCTTATTCTGCAGCTGGTATTGTTCAGCGAGTAGCCACATAGGCTGCAAGATGGGGCTGGAGAAACGGGTCTGGGAAGGGTGCTGACCCATGGGAACATGGCACCGTTCCCGCAATCCAGGTCAGCAGGATCACACAAATAGTCCCAGAAAGCCTAATGGAATAAAAATCCTTACTAGAAGTTTTCAGAGTGGTTTAACTGAACAAGATGACCCATTTAATTCCTAACAGTCTCTCATTAGAGCTGATGATCTCTCAGGAACAGCAGGAAAAGACTGAAAATACTGCAAGTAGAAAGATATTATTTTTGTAAAAGCTCAGAAATTTAAAATGTGGGGCTTTTTTTTTCCTCTACAGAGGACTTCAATACAAAAAATAACTAACAATTTAAAATCTGTCAACAAGTAGCTGCCTACAAATGCTAAACTCCATCTGGGTCAAAGTATGGGGAATTCCTTTATTGGGAATATTAAAAAGAAATGTCATGGAATTACAGCAAAAATCCAGATCTCATACTGCTATAAACTGGATTAGTCGCACAGATGAGAGCATAACTGGGCAGAATAAAAATCAGTACAAGCAGGAAAAAAWCTGCTCCAGTCTTAAAACTAAGCTGTCAAGGCCTATTTTCCTTAGGCTTATGTTATATGAAGGGAATTCTATTATGTTTTTATTGCTGAGACATCACCTTGTCAAGTAGTCATTTTAAACGGCAATCTAATTCAAATATCCTTGGTCACCTAAAATAATCAATTATTCTTAATCTTCTGAAAGGGACACCTCCGGTAAGCGTTTGCCAACGGGGTGCTACCTGTTCAGTGACTAATTTGGTTGTTCATCCTCACAAGGAGGAGGAATAACGTCAATAATTTGACAGTTTGAAAGAAAAAACAAATAAAGATCAAAGGCAGTGTTTCAGCAGCTACTCCTAATTAGGGTATTTACGAGTTATGTCACCAAAGGGAGAAGAGAAAACTCAATAAACGCTGGGAAAGCAGCAGCTCAAACCCATGCTCTCACTGCCTTCAAAACAAGGACCTGCAGCCAGAAAATACGCATCATTTGTAGATAAGGGAGCTCGTGTAAGGAAGGGGCACTGCTGGTCTCTGCCTCACAGGCACCCGTGGTGCTCGATCACAGGGCGCTGCTGCTACGCGGCCCGTGGACGCCCTGTTCTGCGGGCACCAGCGCAGGGTCTGAYGTCTCCCAGATGTCAGAACAGCCACGATTCCAAGCGTATCTCGTGCCCACCAGCATCCAAATAAATGACTAGTCTACCACTCCAAAGCCAATGCTGGGACGGTGCCGATGAGCCATGTTGTGCGGCAGGCCGTCCACGCGATGATAAGCAACCCGCTTCTCCTGGGCTGCAATAATAAAGAGTCTCTGTAGGAAACATGGTCATTTAATCAAGCTGAGTACACAGGGAACATGCAAGGATTCAAAGTCTGCAAGCTGTAACTAATATCCTGTAATATTATTTGTTGAATTTCTCTTTACGTCAATTGAGAAGTCAATTTAGTTTTATAATTGATTTTCTGGCCTTACTCTTTCAAGTTAACTATGGAAAAAATTGAGCCAAATGTATATGGAACTGAATAAGCAGCAGGAGGGAATGAGTTGCAAAGCAAAAGATGAAAGCTGGGATTTTCAAAGGAGCAAGAGGGAGCCGAGGATCCCATTGTCCTGAATCCCAATAGGCTTTGGTGCACAGCTCCCATGGGATCCCTCAAAAATCCTAGCCTAAAGAATTAAATATTAACTTCATGGTAAGGGTGAGGAATGGTTTAATAGACTACATAGTTAAGCAGGAAAATTTAAAGAAGAGGGATTACTTCTAGAGTGCACTAGGAAGAAATGAAGAAGTGTGTAGGACATTGGGAAGAAGATGCAACATCACCATTATCCTCACTGCCATAGCTAATATGCAATAACTGTATGAATCTAGTCCTGTGTTTGCATCTTAAAAAAATACTGTTTCCACTATTCTTCTGTATCAAATGTGAAAAAAAGTTGAGCTAGAGCCAGGAATCTATAGACTAAATTATATAAACCACTACACAAACAAAATATATTCTGAAGGAACAAGAGGAACGTGCCACATTAAGAGAGGAATGAATCAGGTATTCCCAAAGGGCCATTCACTTCAGATGTTACACAAGTCATCTACGGGGTAATTCTCGGCACTGTAACTACTTCATCTTTAATACTTTCTTCAGCCAATTACATTTTTTAAACCGTGGCCACTTGTCACTATTTTAAGCTAACATGGAAAGCAAGGGACACACACACACACACACACAGCATGTACCCAGCCTTTCCTCCAGGCAACAAGAGAGCAGGCAAAGCACAGAAAATTTGTTCTAGGGGAGAAGGATATTAAATAAAAACTGTAAGGTTATTAATCCTAAGATCCTCAGTAAGAGTTGCTAACATATTACACGCTTTTATATATACTATTTGACCTTCTTCACAATTGATTTAAAACATTTGCCATTGATCGAGGCTTTCATATTTGTAACATAATTGTACAGAACAAAAGCTGTAATCCATTAGACAGCCCTTTAAGCTGTTTGCTTTATCAAATAGCTCCTATACTGGCCTATAAATAGCTAGCCACATCACATTTAACAGGCTATTCATAATGAAATACATCACCTTAAACTAAGGTAAATGCATCTGCAGCACCAGGCTTAACTAGTTTTACCAGTGCAATGAGCCATTATTGTGTTTTTCATGTAGATCTAGATGTTTCGTAACAAACGAGCAATCTTTTCAAATGTAAATTAACTCGCCCATATTTTCTATTGAGATGCATCTAAGTTCTGAAACCTTGCCTCCATCTACTGTAGTGCTTATTTTTTAAAAATTATCATTGGTAAAGATAAACAGAAATAGAACTAAGAATCTAAAAAATGTAGTATATTGACTTTTTGACAAGGCTATACAAAAGAAAAAAGAAAGATCACAAATATGTAAAAGAAGCAGCATACATGTTTCCAAAAATGCCCTGAATGAGCCAAAAGTCCCACGCTTCTCTTGAGTAAGTTATCCCATATCAGTGATTTCTTTAATCCTGTCCCTGCACAGGTCCTCTGCCAAGCCTTGCATGATGCTGTGGTGAAGATTTCTGTAATGGTCCTCGGGAGTCACAACGAGCCCACAGTTTCTGTCCCCCATGTTCCAAAAGAGCAAGCCACCCTCACACCTTAGATAAGAGCCACACCAAGAGCCAGCAAGTCACCTGTGCTGCCTGTTCTCTCTTGGAGCACCATCAGTTATTTACATCCTACTCATACACAGCAGATCCAAGAGAGAAACAACTCAATTGCTCTAAGCCCTCAGTGGTGCATGTGGAAAATGCTCCCTGCACCAGGGACAGCTGTTCTCACTCACCAGATATGTAACCTTGAATAATTAACTAATTTCAGACCTCTCAGAATTAGCTACTGGAAATGCCAACAGCTGAGGCAAACACAGAGGCCACCCAGATCTGATACTGGGGCTATGACTGTTATCCACACAATAGAGGAGAGCTAACAAAATAAATTTGAGATAATTATTTCAGGGACTTGTAGCACAACTTGCATATTAACTCATTTTAAGCATGCTTTGATGAATTCAATTGAAGACAATTAATTACATTTCCAAGTCAGATGAACACAAAGTCAAGACACTGCAGGTAGTGCATGTTATTCGATCACTGAATATTTAACAGAGATGATAGGATTTCAGTTTCCAGGTTGTTTAGCTGGTTGTTTGAGCAATCAAGTGATGATGTCTCGCTGAACACACTATTGTAGCTGGAACGAATACGAAATCTCTGAAGCAAAATGCAAGTTGATCTAATTTTAAACAGTTTTAAAGCCTGGATACTTGAGCTACATGGATGTTACTTAGCTACAAAGAAGAAAACTTTATGAGCCAAAAAATCATCTGCAATCAGAGGGAAGCCCATTTTCAATTTGCTTTTTAGAAGAGGGAATGTGAGAATAATAGGGAAGCTTTAAACCAGTAATTATGAACTTCCTGAATCCTACTGAGAGATAGAAGCTCCAAAAGGAACCTTCAGGTATTACATTTCAGGCAGATGCATAGCTGGATCACAGTGAAGTGCAATTAGAGAAAATATTAAAATTTATCTTTGTGTAATTTTGTATTTTCATCTAATCAAGATGCAAAAGTAGAAACTTGGATGGGAAATAAACAGAAAGTAATTCGGGAGTTATCTGAAATTTAAAAAGAACACTCCAGAAAGACCAATGTTTAAAAGCAAAAGTGAAATGTAGCCAAAAAAAMCCATAAAAGAACCATTATAAACGGTGCATATTTGTGCAGAAAGAAGTCCTGAAGTACTTCATATTGACAGAGCATTGGCTACCCTTCTGATTCATTGATTCCAGTAACTTTCAAGATAATTTACAATCCTGAATGATGAATATTCAATTGGAAAGACTATTGTTACAAGATAAAATTGAGTAATACCCTAGAAAGTATCCAGTGGCATACTGACAAAGGACAAGCTAGATAATCTAAAAGGCCTTTTCAAGTTTAGTTGCTAAGACTTTGTTATTCCACTATCAATCAGGATGAATTTACTACCAAGACTATAAAATACGAGCACAACTCCAAAGTGACTGGAGAAGAGTTCTCACATGACCAAAACGCTAGGCAAATATATCAAATTAAAGAGCTACACAGTCAGAGATGATGCTGAAATTGTGGTTGCTCACAAGAATTTGTCTAATTTCATAAATCCTACTTGTCTCAAGTAAGCCAAAATGTCTAGAGATTGGGAAGGTTTCCCAGAACAGGCCAGCTATTTTGATCTGACATRTAAACGTGCTTGAAAAAGAGCAAACAGGTTGTAAGGTGTTGCTTTTTCTCCTTGGTAYAAGACGACATTGCAATTAGTTCGTGGCTGTCCTCCATGACCACCTTTCACAGCATAAAATCAGGTGGCTGAGGATTGCATTGACTGTCCCAAGGAGGGTAATGCCCCTGGCTACCACCTTTCCACCTTTGATGGAGCCCTGCTCCATCATATGAGGGCACATGCACAGAACGAATACAGTCCACCTTCCTGGGAGGGCTCTTCTGCACRTATAGCACATGCAGTGCTTGCTGTAGGTGTATAACATGGGTGCCGTGTGGTCTTCCCATAAAGCTGAAGGAATGGAGACAGCCCATGTCACTGTGCTGTAAACTCTTCAAAGAAGGGCTTTTATTTTCTTTTCCATCTGAAGCTGTTCATTGTTTAGTGTCAGGACAGAACTATTCAAACACACGCTCTAGTAGCACGCAGTCATCTCAGTTTCCCAACAAACAGTTGTAGAACAGCTTGTGAAAACATATTGTTCAGTTAACTGCATTGGCAAGCGGGCACCCTAATGCCTATGAATTAACAGCTACAATGGTGAAAGGATGTGCAGGGAGGCACCAGAACCACGGCACTCAGCATCGCAACTGCCAACAGCGACGGCGCCCAATGAGGCAACCACCACGATGTCTGAGATGTCCTTGTCGCTCATCCATGGGCTGTCACCACAGCCAAAAAGGAGTCTTCAGGCAAAACCTCTGGGTGTCTTCAGGATACYAGGATGCTTAAAGTGCCAGGTAGGGCTTCACGACCAACTGACTGCCACTAACACACCTCAAAACACCTCGTGGCCTTGAGGGTATCAGCATTAGCTTGCTGCATGCAAAGTGAAGAACATTTATTTCTGGAAAAAAAAGGCAATGGCAAAGAAACAGTCCTACCACTGAGAAACTTCAAAAGTTATCCAAGAATTTATACTGGTTTTGGGAGCGTTATACTTCTTCAGAACTAGGCAGACATTAAACCTGGCAACTATTTTGACACTGATCAGAGTCGAACAATAGGTGTTAAATTACACACTTTGAGGCCTGAGAGTTTTCACAAGACATGCTACAGCTTCTTTCCATCTTGAACACTTAGGAAAATACAGGCCATTTGGCAATGGCTTGCAACCCTGTACAATGCACAGTGCTTTGAGTATCTTCTGACATGACAAATTGGTTGGGTATTTTGCTGCAACGTCCCTTTGTTGATGCCCCAAATCTGCCTTCAAGGTTTATCAAAGGAGATRCTAGGCAAAACTACTGTTTTTTTGAGAAGGTAGAATAGTCATTTTCTCAGGCCTAAGATCTGTCTAGAGGAGTGATACCACCATGGTTTACCAGAAGGTTGTTAGAGGAGTGGTGTGTTTTTGGTAGAGCACTCCCTTGGCAGTTCTTTAACATGGACAGCCTTTATTGTAACTAAAATACTAACCCTTTCACCCATTGTACTTGTTTGGGTCCTTTCTTGGAGACTGATGGAAGGATGGGTTGAATCAACTGTTACAGTAACAGCAATGTGTTTTACCGATTCATTTTTTATAGCTCATCCTCTGGAACTGTAGAAAGACCAAACTCATCTGGAGATAGAATCCATTAATGTTGAATTCCCTTAGAAAATCATTTATTTGTTTTTAGAAAGCGCCTCCATTATAAAAGAGCTCAAGGGCAGTAAGAAACAAGAAGTGTGAGAAACCTCCTGCTAGGAAGCACAACAAGGCGATCTCACCTGTGGGCACTTGCTCCACTGTCCCCAGGCAGATACTGCACACTCGCCAGGGCAATACAGGCTGCACTTCTGAGTTTCTTCTGGGATTTCTGACTGGTTACACATGGCATGGGGTACAGTCTCACCTTCATGTTCCTCAGCAGTGTTCACACACCTACACAGAAAACAGAATTTTTCACACAAGGCTCTTCAGCCTATTACAGAAGCAATTAAAACCAACAGGTCTGACTCCAATTAAGGCATCACATATAAAATACTACTTCTATGCAGAACAACGCGTCAAAAGATGGAATTAATCATATTAATAATACAAATGATTACGCACATGATGTATGCTATTGCTACTTATGCTGTTAAGAAATGCAATAAACCAACCGAGTCTCAGTCTGCATGCTTTTCACTTCAGCTGGATGGCAGCAGCAGAATGAATAGCAAATGACAACCATCAGGAAGAAAGGTTTGAGTTCCTCCTACTAACATGACACTATTTGGAAATAGCTCAGCATTTCCCCATGCTTGGGAAATAAATACTTACTAATGATAAATGTCACTCCAGTGTGAGTAAATACTTGAGGAAATACTAGCAAATCTGCAGTTGAGGTTTGCTGCTCAGGAGGCTTTTCATGCACGTGGCATTTAGGTGGAAGATTCTAATTCAGACAYTATGCCATCTTCCTTACACAAGTCCTGACCAGAGTGCAAGGCTGCATCTCTGAGAGGTTTCTCCTGTAAACTGCTTCCCATAAGCGCATCCTTCCTCGTTTGAAATGCATCAGACTCAACAACATTCTCTCTCTCAGCCAGCAAATATGCTTTAGCATTTTTTAATTTTAAGGAAATGTGCTTTTATCTGCACGCACCTGACTTTTCTCGTTTGCATTCCTTCTCCACAGTGGAGGGAATTCTGTTCGCTGTCGATTTTGCACGGAGACCACGCTTCCACCACCCAGGCATACTGATTGCACTCGCTGTAACATGGGACTGCCTCRTGCACCTGCCGGGGAGAAGAATCAAAACTGCTCATTTGAACTATCCAAGTTAGTATCTTCCACAGAAATGCCTCACACACACCAGAAAAGAGTACAGGGAAAGACAGCCTGCCTTATGCTCTTTATGCTAACAGTATTGTAATATCTTTAAGTTCATTTATGCATTATTGACTTGCCAAGGGATTTTTAAGTGCATAATAAACAGGGGTATGCACACAGCATCTCAAGAAACAGAATAAATAACAGCTATTTTCTAAAGCCAGGACAAAACTCCATTACAATTTCATTTGCTCACAGCGCTCACACAATAATCTATCACATACCGTTCCCCAGGACTTGCTGTATTGAATCCTTTGATGTTCCACAAGGTACAAACTTAAAATTAGTAGTCATTTACTTTGCTTTTAACATATTCATTTAAGTCATTTACTGTAAAAGAACGAAATTTTATGCTCCCTACAAATTCCATTTTTATATACAAACCCTGTAAATGCTTTCTCCCTGAGAGTGCCTTATCTCTAACACATCTCCTAGGCAAACAGTACTGTATATTCACCTGAGCTATAGTATCTATGCAGACAGAAAAATACAGCCCAAAGCTTGAGGAGCATTTTTAAAAGGTGACGGATACTCAAGCTGTTAGAAGCAACACACTGCAAAATGTTACATGAGCAGATTTTTACATTCAAGCTAATAATTCCATTGATAGTTTTGTTGCAGAAACTAATAAAAATTATTTATTTGGAGTGCAGGGTGTCTGCTGCAAAGGGGGCAGCAGTGCCAAGTTGCCCTACTTGGTAGCTGTGCAGCCAAGCTCACAATATTGCCCAAAGTGAGGCAAAGGACTCATTTTTCAGCTGATAGCGCCCAAACCCATCTGTTGTCCCACCAGGCAAGGTGCAGAGGGCACCTGCCAATTTCAAGACCAAGTAGTGCCACCTCTGCTGCTATTTGAAGGCACCAGAAAGGTGTCAGTAGCCGCCACGCATTACCAGGACGGGCAGCTTCCCTTAGCGCAAACACCACAAAGCTCGGGTTTAAGTGGGAGTCTGAAACAGATGCTCCGTTTCCACCAGGGACACTGTGTGTGGATGTGCATTTCTCATTTGTTTAGAAGCTGTGAATATAATTTGTGACTGTCTTTGCCTTTAAAAATGAATCCGGTGATGAGCATGCACTCCTCTCTCCTGCCACCCGGTGCTCTCCTCCTGCTCCTCTCTGCTGTCTACCCATCACTTGTGTCCCATCAACTCCGGTTCCTCTTTTAACAGAGCCYTAGCACTTTTCATTCATATCTTTGGCTAACAACAGCTGTGCTGCTTAAGAAGGTCAAACAGATGATGTTCTTGGTTCTTCAGTTTCAACAGATTTTGGCTAAATTTTGCTGTTCTTTGGATACTTCTAAGCAGAGCGGAAGCAGAGCTCCCCTCTACCAGGCCATGTTGGCATGAGGACGCGTGCCGGGGCATCCACGCTCAACAGTCAAGCCAGACAACCCCATGTCTCAGTTTTTATATATATTCACATACTGTTAATGATGATACCATAAATATGCCTATCCCTAAGGGTGGCATCCTGCATGGCTGAAGCCCCTGGGAGTTTTACCAGTGGCTTTCACTTGACCACTATATTGTTCCTAGTCTTTCTGGGTCACTTGGAAAGACCATAAACCTTCTGAAAATACTAACATTTTGAAGAACAAGGAAAGAACAGAAAAGAAAGAAATACAAATACTGGAATAAGAAGTGTTTTTTTGAATTAAAATGAAAATATTCTGAGTTACAACCACAGTAAATCTGGAATACATTAATGTCTGAATCCCAAAATAAAGCTGATGGGTCCAGTCCTAAACAAAGGAAGACACAAGTTATTTTTAAGAGATAAACTTGCTATAGGCTTATCCTAACAATAGAAACTATCTCCCACTCACTCAAACGACAACTCAGAGTCCTTGATATCTTCAAGTTAATAGTTGGTTAAAGATGATATACAAACACCATCCTACTTATTTTCTCTTTAATAGTTGAGACATATTTTAGGGAAACGTCCAACTATTTAACCACCAGAAACTTGTCATTATAAAATTCTGCAGTTTGTTTATTCACGTGTAGGTCAGGAGCAACACTAACCTTCCAGAAGACAAAACAACAAGTGCACTCACTCAACTGACCCGACTCACTACCAGAAACTCACAGCTATGCTCTGGGTAGAAGTTTGGGTTTTCCGAAGAGCTCCTGACTTAAACTAGAACCGCGGGTGTTCAATGCTTCTGAAAATCATAGTGACTTCATATTTCAGTGAACATCAAGATTTATTGTCCCTCAAGGTAAATATTGACTCTGGCTTTCCCTCAGTCGATATTTTAGCTTTCAAGTCAGTAAATCTTCGTGTTCACCTCAACTAAAGTCAATATCTGCTTATTATATTAGAACAACCAAACAGATCACTGTAGTTGTTGCCTGAGACCCTGAGGACAAACTCTGTGCTATTCATTTCTAATAAAAACGGGCAAAATTCATTTCTAACATAAGTTCATTTCACATCTCTGCTCTTATACCAAGGTTACATTAAATTGAATACATTGAAACAACCAGAACCAAAGAAATAACAACCTACTTTTAAACCATGGAGACCACCATAAGTATCTGCAAAGAACTATATATGCCAAAAAGAGAACTGATCTGCAAGGAGGCTTGTTGGAAAAAGAAATTGAGGCTTAGATATGAAAACGCTCCTACTGAGACTTGTCAGCCAACTGTCCTTTATAATGCTTTTGCACACCCATTTTTCATGCCTTTGCCTACCCACTTTCACCCTTCTTGCACATCTGGACTTCAAGAGGAGGCAGCAGTGGAATCTCACTGTACAGAAACAACCCTGTCCTCCTTTCCCAGTGCAGGGCCCTGGCTTTTTGAGCTGGGCTCACACCAGCACTTCCCTTGCAAGCAGCCCACCCTGATGGGATCCAGAGAGCATCACCAAACACAGCTGTGCTCATGCCTGTCCATTGCAGGTGTGCAGACACACAGTGAGGATCTGCTCACACCATGACCACCCACAGGTCTGTCTGCATGTGGACTCCATCCTGCCCGTCCAAATCGCATTTTTTGGTTGCTAGATGCTGTTCTTCCCTTCTGTTAAGTGACTAATTCTTGTAATGCTCTACCTAATACTGCATTTGCATTCCACTTAATGCAACATGTGCATTTTCCGATAATAAGCTTTTTCCATTCCATTCTTTAAAACTGAATTCAAAATGGAGTACTTACTTTGGTAATTACTTAAGCACATGTTTAATTGATTYGGTAGTGCTAAGCATGCATTTAAAAGCTTTGCAAAATTTACTGTGTATCTGAAGGACAAGTACTTCTCTATGAACAAATACTGTATCACAGAAATAACCTCATTAAAATTTCAACATTACATAATGCTCTGTAAAATCAAATTGATTTCATTTCATCATAGTTTATGTATTGATCACAATTGCTACAAATATGCTAACTGCTTATCAGTATTAAAACTGACTGAACAACTAATTTTTAGACAGGTTGGGTTTTGTGAGCATTTATTTCAGAGATTAATACTTCCATTTTTAGGCATGTGGACTGTAGTCACCAAATTAAAAGATATTGTTTTAAAATGATTTATGGCAGAAAATTTTTGAATAGATCAGCATGTGGTGAGGTTTGTGAAAATACTGGAATTCCTGGATTTTTTTCATGCCTCTAGCAGATAATGTAATTGCACAAATCACAGTGAAACAAACTCAGCACTTTCAGCTTTCATTTATACCTGAGTCAAAAGGGGGTTACTATTTTTGACCTCCTTCGTGGTAAGGAAAATAGAAAATCAATTAGCACTCTGATAAGGTTATGAAAGCCCTCACCGGTGTCGAACCAAGTTCACAGAAAACCTAGAATTGGCTAAAACCCTCCAGCTGAGAAAAAGATGGGATCAATTTTATTCTAATGTCTAAGCACAAAGTATGAATTGTGAGTCAGGACAACACTGGCTCCCGTCACAGCACAGGAGGATACAAATAGACATTCTGAGTCTCTGCCTGCTGGGCAGTATTGACGCCCAGAAACCTGGGCAGCGMCACTTCAGAATCACTCTAAATGACCAGCCCTGGCGACAGGTTTCAGAAACATTGCCAAAAAAGAAAGCTCTGCTCTGAGTAGAAGGGTAAATACACACATTTACAAATCCTCTCAAGTTTCCCCAGTTCTTGATTATCTATTTATAACCCAACGCTCAAAATAGCCCAACTTTAATCCTAATTTGCATATGAGGAAACAGAGGATGAAGAATTAAGCAATTTATTAGAGGCTGGAGAGAGAGCCCTCAGGGAGCAGGGACTGGACTTGGATGCACCCTCTATTTCTTGCACCAATGCAATGACATCGCAGCTTGAAACCACACACGAAAAAGTTCAGATAGAGCCATTCCAGGATGATGCCATTAGAAAAGGAAGGAGATCTAATGGTAAATATTGGCTTCACAATGACAAAACAGGAAAAAAAGGAGGAACTGGGAAAATAACAGTATATCCTTGTGCAAAGGCATCTGGATGCTCCATATTCCCTCCCCATGTTCTTTAGATGTTTTACTCTGGTCYTTCTGGACATTAAAAGCGGCGACCTCCTAGTAAATCTCTTATTTTCTTCTAATGGTTAATTAAATACGCCAAGGCAGATGCCTGCGTTTTTCAAACTCCTAAGTGCAATGAATGGAAAACGTCTTGTTTAGAAACTCAGTTGAAGGAAGATCTGCAAAACTGCAGCCATTCRAGCAAACGCAGAACGAAGGTGCCGCTCGCTGGGCTTTATTAATTTGTACTTACTAGTGCTAAGTGCCTTTATTTTCTGTATATTTGGTGCAGGCATCAAAAATACTGAGTTATAATACAGTAAAGTGCAAGCATCCTTTACTGGAGATTATAAAAAGAAGTCAGTGTAATTAAATGTGGAGAAAAAACATGGAAGAACATATCCTCTAGAAATCA